CACCAGGGATCTGAATTGGGATTTAAAGTTCATCTTTCACTGATGTCAAAATTAATAAATCCCCAAAATTGTGTAAAAATGACAGTGCATCCATTTTTCTGCCAAAGGAAACTTTGGAAACAATGTCAGCACTCTCATGTTCAAGTTCTAAGCAGCAGGATTTAAATGGCATGTTTTTTTCTCTAAATAAAGTATTGTGCAGTGTCTCACCTCTCCCACAGCGTTGGACAGGATCTGGACAATTTTTTCATGGGGAGTTGCCACCACACTCTGATTATTGATCTCAATGATGCGATGGCCCACTCTTACACCTCCTCTTTCAGCAATTCCACCCCGCATAAGGCTACAAATCTGATGAATAGATGCAGTAGTTTTTTCAGACGAAAAATACAACTTCAATTAAAAAGTTGACAGACTATAAACATATTTTTCTAAAAGAGTAAAACACCAGCCCTACTCACAATGCCATTCTGTACACTGAATCCCAGCTGGTAGCGCATATCTGGCCGCCTGATAAGGACTGTAGTTACTGGTGGACATCTGACAATATTCAAATTTATCCGAGACTGATTCTTTAGACCCTATACAAAGGAAAGCATATAGAATTTGTTTACTCTCAAAATGTACAATTCATTAAAGATATGAAAGAAATTTAAAATTAGCATAGGATGGTAAAAAGAAAACTAAGGGGCCACAACAACATGTGCCCCTTTAGTTTTTGTATTGTGGGTTGTCAGGGCAAAAGGTCTGACAAGTCATTGACAACCTATATATGAACTTCCCTTGGTACCAGAACCAAGTAGGATGTCTTCCACAATCCTGGAACCTTCTTTTGAATCGAGCTAAGTTTGAAAAGATTTTGTAGAATCTCATAGAGCTGTTCTGCACAGGCCTTTGGGACTCTGGAACTAACACCATTAGCCCTGCTCTAGCTCAGTCTCTCCAGTTTCCTCTTCACCTGACTTCTAGAGACAGAAAAATGGAAGGGGAAGGTAAAGGGACCAGCAGCGTCTTCTGATATGTAGACATAATATGTAGAAGCAGAAAGATCAGTAGTTGAGGTGGAATATAAAATATTTGAGGTGTGACCAGTCTAAATATCTCAAAGGATGGTAGGAGCTACAATTGGCTGGGGGCAGGAGAAGGGGATGATGAGCTTGTTCCTAAAGTGAACTGTTGCATAATGTATTCAGTTCATTTGCTCTGTCCAGACTTTCATCTATCTGATCCTCCTTTTGTTTAAAGCCTGTGATCTTCTTCATCCCTGATCACACATCTCTGATATTGTTCTGCTGGACCTTGTTCTCCAGCTTCTTCCTGTAAACCTCCTTATGGTCTCGTCTTTAAGCTCCTTCTTTATACTCCTCAATAATTACCTGTTTTTCTCCCAGAATGCTCCTTTGTTCCTTATTTAGCAATTCCTTCAGGACACTGATGATGGAAGGTTAGTATTAGTGAAGCATCTCACTGTTCGGGTGGGGTTGGTGTTGTCCCCAGAAGTTTATATAGTCAGTTATACACTCAGTCAGACACTGATGTCCTCTTCATCTGGATGAAACAGTGTATCCCAGTCTAAAGCCTCAGAACAACTTTACAGGACTTGCACAGCTTCATGTGTTGCAGTTCTTTTCAACCCAGGCTGCCTCTGAACAAGGGGTTTAAATTATTCCAAGCAGAAAAACTAGACTGTGATCAAATATGGCCAAAAGAGGTATTGCTTTGGAAATGTATAAATTCTAAACACTTGCAACAAACAAATCCAACATTTGTTTTCTCTGGTAGTGTGGCTGACAAGGTGAATTGTCTCTGTTGTATTATTGAACAGAACCATGCAACAGCTTCTTCATCTGCTTGTTTGAGTTTTTTTTTTAAGTCACTGACTTAACTAACCCCAACACAGAGCAGATGGCACTCTCCACAACAAATGTAAATGAGATCTGCAGCATCTTGCTGCCAATACCAAAGGACTTAAGTTCCCTACATACAGTTTTATGCATTTGTCTCTTTTAACTACATTGAATTGTGCGTTTTTATATATACCAGTATATTGTTTTTATGTGGTAGATCAGATCTACCATATCAAGGGTGGCTCTCGAGTTGGTGTGGTAAATCGGAGAGCGAGGGTTTATCTGATGCAGGTATGCAGTGTTTTTAATGCTTTAGATTGACTTAATTAAGGTGATTTAATAAGTATTCAGTAATTTCTGTATTTTTGTTTTTTACAGTTATATCACTGCTCCTGCTGTTTCTTTTGAATTTGATTTCTTTTTTGTTAGTCCGCCCAGTGTTGGATTGTTTCTCTTGTTTTAGTGTTTGTGAGGGCGGGCTAACAATTTTTTCCCATTTATTTTGTTTTGTTTTCAGGTCACTTCCTAAAAATGCACACCTTATTTGCATAAGAATAAAATTTACTAATTGATTTTATGCTGGTGGTTCATTGCATTTCGGCAGGGTGAGTCATATAAAAACAACCTTTAACAAGAAGAAACCTCCAGCAGATCTGGATTCAGGATGTAACCAGGTGGTTTATTAGTTGTAAAATGGTGTTTATGTATTAGTGGCTGTAAATTCCCACCCATGACGGGCCCATAAACCTTTCCCCATATTCACTTACACCTGTAGTCCTGTCTGGCTCATTAGTATATATGGCCACCAGGTGCACACGCCAAGTTACTGATTCTACGAGCATTGGCTGTTAGGCCAGTCACTGCATATGGTTGGAGGTGTGAGTCGGATCTTTACTAGGTGAGCGCTGGCGCCGTGCTCATCAGGCTGACTGTAACAAGCCCTGTATCATTGGTATTGCTAATTAGGTAAATGGGCTTTTAATTTGTCACTTATGGCTGGTTGTGTGCTATGTCGGTGTCATTTTTGGCATGTC